GAGAACCCGCTCCGGCCGGGAGGTATCCAGAGGGATTTCCTCGACCTCCTCGGCTGGCTCTGCATGTGGCCTCTCCTCGTCCATGGCGACGGCGGCCGTGATGGTGTCTATCCGCTGTCCTTCCCTTTCAGCCGGTCTCGTCAGCTTGAGGTAACAAGCTCTGGCTATCCTCTGGTTTCCTCTGGCGTAGCCGATGCCGTCATTGGTGGGAAACTTCAAGCATAGGTGCTTCATGGAGATGATGGCCTCCAAGTCCTCCAGCGCTGGTCGGCCCAAGATCAGGTTGTGGGCGCACTGGAGGTTGACCACCATGAACTCCATGTCAATTTTGGCGTGGTGGGGGCCGTCACCGACTTCCACGGGGAGGACTATCGTGCCCTCGGCGTCGATAGAGTCCCCGGTGAAGCCGGATAACGGGGTCTTGATCGGCTTCAGCATAGCTCTGTCCAGCTTCAGCTGCTTGAAGGTGTCTAGGTACATCACGTTGACGGAGCTCCCCGTATCGATGTAAGTGCGGTGGATGATGGAGTCACCGATCTCACATCGGATGACGAGGGCGTCCCTGTGTGACTCCGTACCCGGAGGCAGATCCTTGTTGGTGAAGGTGATCGCCTCCGTTCGCTGCTTCTTCGGCTGGGGGGGAACGTGGGACACCTCTCCAATGTAAAGGGATTGGGCCCATTTCTTCCTCTGAGTGGCGGAGTCCCCCCCAGTGTTCCCGCCCACGATGAGGTGGATGTGATTCTTCTTCGGCGGAGGCTCCTCGAAGTCCTCGTCGTCGCTGAGTCTACCAATCTCGCGCTTCTTCGCAGAGGGTTCGCCCCCACGTTTGCCGGTGTTTACCCAAGTGTTTTTACGTGGGCCACCTTTGACAAACTGGGAGAGTTCCCCCTGGCGAATAAGACGCTCGATGGCCTTCTCTAATGTGATGCAATCGTCGGTGTTGTGCGACGAGTTCTTGTGGAACCGGCAATACGTGCCGCCCTGTTGGATGGCCAGGACCTCCTCGGCCGGCCGAGGAGCCTGCTCGATGAGGCCGTGCTTCTCGGCATAATCGAGGATGGTGCCGACCGGGTGGGTGAGGGCTACCCCCGGCCGTTCCAGCCTCGGCCGCCAGTGGCGGTCTTTCTTACTTTGTCCACCAGAGCCGTGGCGGCCCTGGGCACCCTGGCCGGCCGGGGACGGACCCGAGGCCGGCGAAGGATTTGTCTTCTTGGGGGGATGGCCCCCCTCTCTCTTGTGATTGTGGAGCTCGTCGGCGTCGGCATACAAGCCTCCGCGTTGGAGCGCCTTGGCGTACGACCTCGGGGGGTCAGTGATGAGGCTCCTGGCGTACGGGGAGCTGCGGAGGGCTCCCTGGTACAAGGCGAGGAGGGTGCGCTCATCGGCCCCCTCGACCTCCTCGGTCTCCCTCGTCCACCGGTCGATGAATGACCGGAGGGACTCCTCGTGCTGCTGTTTGACGGAGAGGAGGTGGGTGAAATACTTCTTGGCGCGCTTCCTCCCGGCAAAGTGAGTGAGGAAGCGCTGGGCGAGATCTTGCCATGAGTCAATGCTTCCCTCTGGCAGCCCGTTGAACCACTCGTACGCTGGCCCCTCGAGAGTAGAGAGGAACCAACGGCAGAGGTATTCGTCGGACGCGTTCACCATCAGCATGTTGTTTTGATAACGGCTGAAGTGCTCCTGGGGGTCTGATCAGCCATCGTAGGACTTGATGGCGTTCCCCCTGTACTTCTCAGGGATGGGGGCCGAGAGGACCCTGTTGGTGAAAGGGGTCCAAGTCCTGACCTGGATGATGAGGTCACCCCGCCCTTCGGCCAGCTCCCTCTCCAGGGCGCTGACTTTGTTCATGAGCGCGTTGAGGCCGGGGTCGTTGGAGGCGCCGGCCGTAGGGACGTTGGCCGACTGCTTGGCCTCCATCTGAGCCAACCTCCTTTCCAGCTGGGCGATGACCTCGTCCCGGGGGTCCCCGTCGGCCGCGACGGCACCCGGCTGGTTCCTCCGGCGCTCGTTGTGAGCCGCGTTGATCTGGTGACGCACGTCATCCTCGTGCAACTTCCCCTTGCCCTTGTCCGGGCGGGGCTGGTCCGCTGTCCGGGACACAGACCCCAAACTCTCCCTTGGCGAGCCAGGACGAGGATCACCAATCCGTCCCGCCATCCTCTCCGAAACCGGACGACGGCGCGTGTCACCTAGCCTATTGAAGGCAGAGGCTTTTCCACGCGCTGGGGTCTGCCCGGGCCTAAGAGGGGAAGCAGGGTGGGAGTGGGACGACGCCGTGTCCTGGGCCACAACCCCCTCATTGTTGCCTATCTGGTCGGCCAGGGGTTGGGGATGAGGAGGTGGAGTGACGTTTCCCCCGGTCCTTGGCAAGAGTGCGCTGAGGACGGTGGGATTCTGAGCCAAGCTGGCGATGATAGCCGATAGTGCGGCCTGGACCTGAGGATCTACGGACGGAGAGGCCGCGGCCATAGGCTGGGCCGGGGCGTGGTCCGCTTTCTCAGCTCGTTTCTTTTCCAGGCCGAGGCGGGCGTCGGGGACTCCGCAGTTGAGTTGGTTGCGGAGGTCCGTCGTGAGGTTGAAGGCTTCCTGGAAGAGGTCCCCTCCGCCGACCTGGTCGGCCGTGGCGTCCTCATCGTGCTCCCTGGGCTCTTGGTCCTCAGGGATGGCTTTGCTGACGAGGTTGCGGTTTGACTTAGTTCTCCCCATGATCAGTGGTTAGCTGTGCTTGGTAGCGACGAAGGGTGCTAACTTGATTGTTCTAGCTCTCAACGAGAGCACCAAATGATAGAGTATATCTCCTGAATTCTAGAGAGAAGTGAGAGCTAGAGAGAGAAGTGCAATAATATGCTTCAATAGAATGATTTCGTAACCCCTATAACTACTCCCAAGGGGAGTATTTATAGAGAAAATTAGGGTTGGGCTCCCAAGCCTTGGGCTTGGGAGGCCCATTTACAACTGGACCGCTACTGGGCCGAATACAAAGCCACTAATGGGCTGTACAAGTGAGTAAGTGTAGGATCCGATTCTGGGAGGTCCTCGTGGCCGACGAGGTCGTGGCCGACGAGGTCGTGGCCGACGAGGGCACGGCCGACGAGGGCACGGCCGACGAGGGCACCCGGGTTCCTTGGACTCGGGATCATAATCCGGGTTGGCTTCCTCTCGGCCGACGAGGGCGTTTGGCCGACGAGGGCGCCACTCTGTCTTGTGCTCTGTTCTTCCGAGTATGTGGGTCCTGGGGCTCAGACCCATATACTCCATCAACGGGGTTCGGTATTTTCTGGTGTATAAAAAAATATGGGGTTCGGTGATGCACTTCACTAGTTTGATACTCTTTTATGATTTGAAGTGCTCCTCGTCATGTTCCATGATGTGCATGTTTCACAATATACTTGCATTCCATTTTGTATTCTGGACTTTGTGGTTTTGACATGACACAGAGTTCATCAAGGAAAACGGGAACTCAGGTTGAGGTTTATTCAGAAAAAATGGAAGAATAGTACCCACACGTTTTTTACTTGAATGATTAAAAGAAGATTATTTAGGGGCATCCAAATAAAGGATAAGTATGAAAAGAGAAATAAAATAAAGCGAGTAACAGTTTTGCAAAAACAATTAATTGCAACAATCATATATGAGTGGAGTAAACATATTATCATGACTTTTTGGCATTTCAACTCATTATTCCTTATTTAGAAGGCTGCGACCCGAAGGGCATCAAGTCATTCAAGCACTATGACTTTTAATTTTACGTTATCATACATTTGGAGAAACCACTATGTTGTATTTGCATTAATTTGACTATTTTGTTGCAGGGTTGTGCTTAGGCTGGTTATGGCCTTATATCGGACTGACCGGTAGCGAGTAAGGATAAAGGGTGCCCAGAACCTTAACTGGATCAACATTTCCAGGTTGGTTGTGAATTTTAATACTACTTAAAAAATGGAACTGGTTTGGACTGATTTTGGATATGGTCTCGGTCCGAAACAGAAAACAGGTCCAGCCCAGAGTTCACGCTCATAGACTCATAGTTAATTTTTAGATAATTGACGCAACAAAATTCATGCCACCAACCTACTGATAGTTGGAGTCAATGATATGTGGTTTGCTAGAGTATTAACTCTACACCATCAAGCGCACCCTAGCTACTTTCTATTTATGTGTTGTTTTCATCTTTTCCATTATGTCAATTAATTAATACTCCCTCCGTCCCGGAATTATCTTCATACTTTCCTTTTCGGTTCGTCCCAAATTTATCTCCTTTTTCCCTTTTTGGTAAAGAATATGTGGTTCACAACCATTCTTACACATTTCTCTCTCCTCTGCATAACTCTCCACCACACAAATCCCACCATCTTAAAACCTGTGCCCGGTCAAAACCGGAGTTAAATATGGGACAGAGGGAGTAATTCAAGACATCCATCTGTACAAGATTCTCCTACTACCGAAGTATATATCTTTAATTAAAAGAGATCTATTCATCGTTCAAAGCAACTAGATAGATGCCTCATCAGTCTGATTGGGGAACTGGACTCTTTCACATTCCTTCATTACCTGAAAAAGGTTCTTCTTTGACTTGACATGCTTATTAAAAAGCGTGAAATTGTGTCGTTTTAAATTTATCGAAGGAGAGAAAAGATAATTGAATCAAACAATTCTTTCCTTTTGTAGTTTTGGAATTGACAGAACAGGAAAGGGGATCCTTTTTTAGAGAAAGAAGGGGTAGATGATTATGTTATTACTATTCCAGTAATTTCTTAAGTAGTGATAATAATTGTCTGACAGTATTTTATAAATGTGTTATGTGAAATGAAAACAGCCGCACTCCCTCCCCACAGACACAAAAAAACTTGAGAAGCATGAATTTTTATGTACAGAGAAAAACCCCATTTAACAGAGAATGAAACATGTAACAAAAGTTAAAAGAGACATGGAAGTAACAAACAGAGAATAAAACCCACCTTGCACTTTTCAAGTAACAAACAGAGAATAAAACCCACCTTGCACTTTTCAGAAGCTTCCAAGTCTATGCACACAATATTTGCACCATTCCTTCTTGAATCTCTCCTTCGTGTGTTACGGCCAGCACAAATCAACCCTTCAGGGCAGAATAAAGGTGGGTCAGAAAAAACAGATGACCTATTTCACTAGTCTGCGTAACAAAAATGATAGTTAATACTTTATACCATTACAGAAGAAAAAAATAACATAACATGAACCTCAACCTATGTGCTTAAGAGAAAACTTGGGTAATGTTTTGGTAGAAATGAAGGGGAAGGGATAAGAATAGTCATAGAGAAGCGAGAACAAAATTATTCGAAGTATTTAGAAGGACTGAAAGAAAACAAAGTGCCTTGTAAACAAAACTTCAGCAGCTTTTGGTTGAGAGTTGAGACTCCTTGATCAGACGTTTCTCTTTTATTTTCCATTACATTTTGAACAATTCGTATTAACCTTAATTTTCCCATTTTCCTGTCAAATGAAGTCACAAAGCCCAATCCTTAGTGGTATGTCTAGATCCCGGAAAATGCCAATGGAAGGGAAGAAATACTAATGAAAGTTGTTTTCTAATGTTTGTCATTATTTTCAAAAAGGAAAAGAAAATTGTGCATTAAGATTTTTTTTACTTTCATTCTACATATATTTAGATTTCTTAGTCTAAATGTAATAGAGATAAATAAATAAAACGAGTGTGAACAAATATCTAAAATAATTGTTTTGAGTTTAAATGTGTTTTTATTTTCCTCAAAATTTTATTTTATTCCAATTATGCTGCACACTATCTTACTCTAGTACTTTCTGTGTTCCAAATGAATCCCAAGGATGGAACTAACAGAAAAGCAGACACAAATAGAAAGCAAAAGTGATGTCTAACTCATAAGGGCTCAAAAGTAGTGGGATTAAATAAAATATGTGCCTAAGAAAATAACCACATAGCCGGAAAACAGCTCTAATTAAAATTCAGTAATATACACCAAAAAGATCCGCATCCGCAAATTATATCATACCTCCAGAATCCTGATGTAATTTAAAGTCTGAGTATTTTGTAAACTTTTTTATAAAAATTAATATTTGCATCTGAAGAATGCTAATGTCTTCATGTTCAGATTGTTTATAAAGTTCCTGTTTTTGCTCATTTTGATTACTTACCATACTCAGTCCAGTATAATAGAACTCCTTTTGCATCTAAAAATACTCATTTGGACGTCCCAATTAAAGAGATTATCAAGCAGAAAGACCTGGGGATCCTTGGTGTGCTTCAGTTTCATCATCTAGCACTTCTATTACAGGACAGTTCCTCCTTGCCTTTTCCTTAGCCTAAGGAGAAGATATGGCATGTTCGAGCATCATAAGGGGAAAGGGAAAACAGAAAGCAGAGCTAAGCAGTATAAACTTTTGAAATTAAGATCATATACCTCCGCAAAACTTCTTGGAGAGCATATCAGAACATCATCATCATCACCAGCATCGATATTTGCCATGACTTGCACTTGGGGCAGTCCAAGCTCCAAATTTGTATTCACGTCGCTAGCAGTGTCCATTACTGAAAGATCTTCAACCCTAGGTGGTGCGTTAAGGTCTAAATCTAGAACCATCTGAGCATTGTAAACATATGTATTAGCAACGACTGCGAAACTAATTTTAACTTTACAGCAACGTAAACACCGGGAGAAAGCGGTTCTTATAAAGAGGGGGGAAACTCCCATGGATATTTACTTTCATCAGTTCAAAATTAACCCCATTATTGCTTTGATTACATTCTTCTTCAAGTCTTAAAACTTCATGGCATAGACTGCAGGCGGAGCTTTTTGCATTAACAAAACAACTAGAATTCCACCCGCAACAAATTACATGAGAAAAGGTTTAAAAATCACCAGGATAAACGTTTGTTTGCGGCAAAGTTGAATTGCAAAAGCCGGAAAAGTTGAAAACTTTTAACATGCTTTTGAAAACTATATATAATGATGATTACGGAGGGGAAGATTTATGGGGATACCCGAGGCCGGGCCTGAGGGTGCGTAAGGTGTGCAACTATATTAATTCAAACAATTTTTTTGCAAATTTTAAGGGCCCAATTTTTTTGTAGCAATATACTACTACCTTCATCCCAAATTGATTTGCAAATTTGACTTTTCCTGGTCAAACAATTTCATTTTATTTTCTTAATTAGGATGTCAATTTTTAATAATATTCTAATTTGGAATTTACAACTTTGAAGAGATATTAATATAGTTTCTGAATATATAAATTTTAATTATTAAAAATTGAATTAATTATCGATAGGGAGCATTGACTTTTTTTATTAGTTGACCAAAAAATGTTGACTTTGCAAAACAATTTGGGACGGAAGCAGTAGTATTACTTAGTGGTGGAGCGTATATATAGGAACGAAGGAGTACTAAATCCTCCGTTTTCACTGATGTGGGAATCTTAAGCTTTAGAAATTAAAAAGATAAAAAGCGAGGCATGAGGGATTCGAACCCAGGTGAAAATAAAATCATAGACGTTGATCTCTAAACATCAACCCATTGGACCAAATCAACTAATTGTTGAAATAATGACGTACAAGCTTTATATTACCTATTTGTTCTACAAAATAAATAATTAAAAATACCTCTTAATAAAAATCAGTTCGGTTCGGTTTGAACCGATTTTATAACTCAAAAACCTTCATTAAACCGATTTATGTTCGAGTCCCAACTTTCGGGTCCCGTTTGAGTCGGTGCGGTTTCGGTTCAGTTTTTTAACTTGTGTTGAAACTTTGAAAAGAAGGCACAATTATTTTTGTTGCACATGGCCTTCATTTCCTCATGACCGGCCCTGGCCCGGATACCCATAGGGGAGTCATATAAGCTGTTAGGTGTAATCAACTTTGGGATTAAATAAATTTGGCTGTGACAACTCCGCTGCCCATTTAAAAAATGGGGTACCGTACCTACCACTCACTTGATTGGTTGAAATCATTACATCATTTTTAATTTAGATTTAAATAATTCAACTACATCATTCTGATTGGTCCATGTGGATAAAAGTATGGTACCTTAAGGGTACCATAGAATCTACCAAATTTGGTAGATGTTTTACAAATTAGTTTTTACAAATTAGTTTCTCATTAATTTTTTATTACTTTCCTATTTTTTATTACTTTCCTATTTTTTATTACAAATTATTTTTTTATTACTTTCCTATTTTTTATTACTTTCTCATTCCTGATATATTCTCTTTCTTACATTTCCATTTACCATATGAAAAAATTACATATACATTTTATATAACCTTTGTTATTTTCTTCTGTTCCTAATATAATCTCTTTCTTTCTTAAATATATTATCTTTCATATATAACCTTTGCTATTTCCTTCTTAAAAATTACAAAATACCTAATCAGACAGTTATTTAATAACGAATGGAGTGTGATTTTAGGTATTATTTCAAACAAATTGTCTTTTTTATTTAGCTCTGCATGTTCTAAGTTCATTAATATTAGGTATTACAATAAAAAAAATGGTGTGTGGTGGAGTGGAGTTCCTATACCTTACGACCGCTATACGGTGAGCACCGGTACGGTTTTATATTTTTTTTTTCCTTTTGTTTTTAAAAAATGATAATAACTTTTTTATTTTTGATCCGATTTTTATAAAATTTATATCAATATTTTTTATTTTTCATGATCTTTCAAATGAGACCAATATTGTCTATGTAATTTTAACATATTAACATTTGCGTGTAAAATATGTAACTTTACGTGTTAAAATATGTAACTCACGTTCAGTCAGGTCAAATGCAACTCGTGTGTATAAATATGTATCTCTACGTGTAACAATATGTAACTTTACGTAAAAAAATATGTAACTCGCGTTCAGACAGGTCAAATGCAACTCGTGTGTATAAATATGTAACTCGCGTGTATAAATATGTAACTTTACGTGTAAAAATATGTAACTTTACGTGTAAATATATGTAAGTCGCGTTCAGGCATGTCAAATTCAACTCGTGTTTATATATATGTAACTCGCTTTTAAAAAGATGTAACTTGCTTATAAAAAGATGTAACTTGCTTATAAAAAGATGTAACTCGCTCATAAAAAGATGTAACTCAATGTATTATCAAATGTAACTGAGGCCACCGATCCACTCCCAAACAGATTCAATCTTCTATTTCACAAATCTATCATCTTCCTAACAGATTCGATTTTCCTTATAATCCAATACTCATTAATATAATAGTTTGATAATTTCTTAACATTACATAAGCAATATTGGTCTCATTTGAAAGATCATGAAAAATAAAAAATGTTGATATAAATTTTATAAAAATCGGATCAAAAATAAGAAAGTTATCATCATTTGTAAACAACAAAAGCAAAAAAAAAAAAAGAGAGTGAAGCTGCGTCGTTTTGCAACCGGGCGCACCATCCTCATTGTGCGCCGGTTGCACGGTATAATTTGCCGGTGGAGTGAGACGTCAATATTAAGCTAATTTTTTTAAAACTAATTATTACTCTCTTATAGTACGTAGTACTTCGTAATACAAATAATAAAATGTACATAATATACAGCTAAAATAAACATTGTATAAAAGTGTAATCTCATATACAAAATGATTAAATACGTACATTTTAGTGACTATTGAATTTTATACTGTAAACTACAACTAATACGTAGTAAGCTCCTATATGTGATGTACTCCGTATATATCATGGATTAATGGGTTGGGTTAGGTTTGGCACTACGTACTAGTCTTGATTGAACAGATTTTTTTTAACTGCAAATAGATTATGCAATTTCAATTTCAAGAGATGCATATCTATAAATTATAGGTCTAGTTGTCAAACCAATAAAACAATTCTAATTAATAATATAATTTCCAACTTTTTGAAAGTGTTGGTGGTATTGGTGCTACCAAGGTCTCCCTTCCACTTTATTTGTTGAGGCTTGCACCCTATTGTTTTACTCCCACTTTGGTACCTTTTCTTTGGTATATATCCTGATCAAATATATACCTATTTTGAGCGGTTGACTTAATCCACTTGGCTGGCCCCTTCTCTGCCTCCTGTCCGCTGCACTCTTTGCCTGGCAGCCTGTGAGCCTTTTTTGTCTTGGCTCTCACCCGTGACTTCCTTCTGGCCGTTGCTATTATTTAGAGGCTTTGGCCTCTTCCTGTGATAGTAGCCTGCGTAAATAATCCCTGAGAGCAGAGCTCCCTTCTTCTTCCTTTGTGTGAGAGAGTAGAAAGGTCTTAGTGGAGAGTTGAGAGTGGATGCTATAGCCTCCTCCTAATGTGGTGTATGTGATTATAGTGGAATAGACCTGAGCCGGAGACGGATATACGATCCTAACAGTGCTGAGAAGCACTTGTCCTGTAAACGCGTGTTAAACTTTGACTGTGGATAACTGTGGGTTGCGTAATAAAGTGTTTGCCCGTTTTATCTGTTGATATTCCGGGTGACCCGGCGATGATGAGTCTTGTCACAACTTTATATTGTTTCTCTACACCACCTAGGACCAATAAGGTGGAGAATGTTGGTGGTATTGGTCCTACCAAGGCCTCCCTTCCACTTTATTTGTTGAGGCTTGCACCCTATTGTTTTACTCCCACTTTGGTACCTTTTCTTTGGTATATATCCTGATCAAATATATACCTATTTTGAGCAGTTGACTTAATCCACTTGGCTGGCCCCTTCTCTGTCTCCTGTCCGCTGCACTCTTTGCCTGGCAGCCTGTGAGCCTTTTTTTGTCTTGGCTCTCACCCGTGACTTCCTTCTGGCCGTTGCTATTATTTAGAGGCTTTGGCCTCTTCCTGTGATAGTAGCCTGCGTAAATAATCCCTGAGAGCAGAGCTCCCTTCTTCTTCCTTTGTGTGAGAGAGTAGAAAGGTCTTAGTGGAGAGTTGAGAGTGGATGCTATAGCCTCCTCCTAATGTGGTGTATGTGATTATAGTGGAATAGACCTGAGCCGGAGACGGATATACGATCCTAACAGAAAGAAGGTCATAATTTGGATTAGAATTGAATCATTCTAAAAACCATTAATTTTGAACATTGCTATTCCAAAATAATTCTCATCAAATTACACTGTTTTAATTCCATTGTTAATCCTTTGTTCTAACCCAGTAATCTCATTCCCTTGTCTTCCACTCAACTTTCCTCTTTATTTTTCTTTTCTTTTATATTATATGTATAATTCTTAAACCACCTGGAGTATCTTAAATTGAATCTTGCAAATTTCAAAAATATTTAATGAGATGTAACTTGATTTAAAACATCTATCTTCCTCTCACACTCGTAATATTTCACTTTTTCTAAATTGACTCATAATATGAATGCACACTAAATGTTCAAAAAATGACAAAATGAATGTTAATTTGTTTTTTTTTATAAAATATTTTATTGATTGTTGCACTTGTATAAAATGTTGAAATATGTATGACTTTTTCATAATATCTTGTTATGATGATCATATTTTTCTAACTTTAACAAATTTTAGATGTTTTATTTGTTATGCATTGAATTTGATGTATAAGATGAGCACACCCAAAAAACATATGAGTATACCTTAACAAATATACATAAAAAGAGATCTCGGGTTCAACTCAATTGGTCGCCATCTCATTCTCCCTTATGGGAGGTCCGAGTTTAATACTCTATGAAGGGAGTTTGAGTCCATTTTACACAAACCCCCCTAGCCCCCCTCTCCCCTGGGTAAAAAAAAAGATTGTTATTATCTCAAATATACATAAAAAGTTTTTTATTTTCTCATTTCAAAAACTACTAATAATGAAGTAAATAACCATAATTATACTATGTTAGTCTGCAATAAATATATAATACATGTACGAACTATTTAAATGATTTTCATATTATACAAAAATGAGTATAGTAGTTACAAGCAATGTGCATTGTCATACCATTTTAAAATGAGCAAAAGTAGCCAATGATGAGCATATTGTACTTATGAAATGTGCACTGGTAAGATACTTTGAAATGAGCATAGCACAAGTACCG